GAGGACAGGCTGGAGAGGCTCGAGCTCTTCTCACTGGCGAGAAGAAGAACGAGGGGAGACCTGATTAAGGCATTCGAACTCCTAAAGGGTTTAGGTGACATTGGGGCAGAAGGGAGACCACTACTACCTCCCAGCGAGAACCCAATCTTAAGGGGTTATGACCTTAAGTTAGCTAAGGTCGGGGTTTCTACCCGCATAAGGAAGCAATCGTTTGCCATAAGGGTGGTGAACGACTGGAACAGACTACCTAATGAAGTAGACAATTCCAGTTCGATGAGAAGCTTCAAGACCCGCTTGGACTCCGTATGGCAAGGTCTTTTCACCTAATAAGCCGTCTAACCAACGTGATTGTCCGGAAGTTCCACTCCCTCCTTCTCCCCGATCTTATTTCACTTACTCTTTCACTCTTTATCCATTACTACTATCTTCTATTCTTTCCATACCATATCCCCATGCCGTCACCATTACCCGATCACTAACTTACCGCTAGAACTCCCCATCCCTTTCGGGTGGGATTGTAACTTGGTTGATGCCGGTGTCAGGGTCTGCTGCCCTGATCCATTAGGCGTGACCGGAATGTGACGCGAGAGTGGGCGGTCAACACCCAACTCTCTTGAAGTTTTGGATCGCAAAATTGAAAAAGATTCATCTCCCTCTTCCATTTGCCGCAGTTTTACTCCTAATTTTCTATCTGCTGACGTTTGATCTCTGTTTATAAAATTTCCAAACTCTTTTAAAAGATTGATATGGAGCTTAACCATAATGGCATGAGCACCAGCACCAGGTCATCTACAGGGAAATGCATGACAGCCACGTTAGTCCAGGAGTATCCGTGTGGGAAGGATAGCTGCACTGCTGAGGTTTTTGACGAAGGCATGGGTTGTGACACCTGCAGCACCTGGTTCCACCCGAAAGGCAGTAGGTTGACGGGTGTCAGCTTCCTACTATACGGCAACACAAACGCCTGAAGCGGGTGTGCCCAGCCTGCACAACTTTCTTGAGGGATCTTAAAAAAAAGAAAGGCAGGCGTCCAGACCTAAACTAAAGCCCAAAAGGAGGGGGTGCATGGCTCCTGTTCCACCCTCGGTCGAAATCGAGGAAAGAACAGTGCCTGAAAAAGTAAGCACAAAGGCAAAAAGACAAAAAGAAGAGCGGAAACAAAGGGGGGCACCTGCTAACATGACATCTAAGAGTGAGTTCACAGCTACCGTTGAGAACCTAGCTAGGCGGATGGATGGGCAGGAGGAAAACCTGAACCACCTTAGGAAGGAAAAATCATCTTGACTGAGGTTGCCGAGAGACTGCGAAAGTACACGGATGTAGCCATTGGTAGACATCGCAACGTTATCATCCACGGTGTACCAGAACCGTTCATGAGGCAAGGTAGACTGAGGGAACGGTACGTGAGGAAGCACTTGGCCACGTTGTTAAGAGCGATAGCGCTCCCCGACCATGTACTGCTAAAAAGAGTACTAAGACTTAAGCAGTGGAGGGACCCTAATGCGATAGGAGCAGCAAAACCTAGGCCTATCATAGTAGAATTCGGAAACCCCAGACATAGGGACAGGTTCTTAGCTGAAGCGCAAAAGATCCGGACAACCTCGGGTGGCAATGTCCGAGTGACACCTGATTATCGGCCTAGTAGGAGGTTGAAATCGGAAACCATTGCGTGGGTGGCGCAAATGCATCAAGCAAGAGTCGTTGTGCCTAAACTGGCCGGTGAAATCATGGATCCATGGGCCCTCCAACTCCACACGAAGGCTCAGGAAACTATAAGTCCTGAGAGACGAGAACCGTCATATAGGGAGGTTCTTCTGATACCACCCAAGGATAAAGGACCCAGTAGACCAAAACAGGCTCGAAAACCTGATTCGTTTGGGGGAACGAACAAAAAGGCAACAATAAACGAAAAACAGGTAGAAAAACGGGACAAGCTCGGGAGTAAATCCCGAGGAACCACCCCTAGCGGAATGCCGAACACTAGGGGAGGAGTCCCACTGCACATTGCATAAACAAATGCGTGTAGCGTGGGAAACAAATGGTCAGGGCTCAAAGTAGAGACAGAAAAATGCGATGTTGTAGCGACCACGAAAACCTGGCTCTGGCCAGGATTAGACATCAAGCACCAATACCCGCCAGCCTTTTGCAATTATCGCACCGATAGAATGGACGGCAGGATAGATGGAGGGACCCTCATACTAGTGGCACAGCACCTACACTAGAGCCACAGAGGTGATCTCACGATATCAACGCCTAACATCCAGGTTTCCGGCTGTGTAGTGGGCGTCGGTCACACCAAACTGATGGTAGTTAGCGTTTACAGAAGCCCATTATCCTCGGCCAACGAGGATGAGGCGCTGCTACTCACGCTACGTACGGCAGCTCGCCGCAATGTGAAACTTCTGATCCTCGGGGATTTCAGCACCCCAGAGATCAACTGGGGTGAAGAAAGTGTCCCATCGGGTTCCTTTGACCATGCGTTACTGAACCTGTTGCACGATGAAGCCCTCGTGCAACACGTAAGAGAGGACACGCGATGGCGAGATGGCAGCAGGCCCACCAGGTTGGACCTGGTAATAACGAAGGGGGCGAACGATATAGAAAGTATTCAGGTAATTGCCCCACTGGGTAAAAGTGACCATGCCCTACTTCATCTTACCTTGCCCATCCGAGGGTCAACCGCCCCCGACAAGAGAAGGCGAAATTATGGGGGAATGAACATGGCGCAGCTCTTACTAGATGCAAATACCATGTCATGGGAGTTGGACCCCAGTGAGTCATTAGACAATAGTTGGAATCCAGTTTAGTCCAACGTACTGCAGCTCACGCATACTTATCCTCCGCTGAGGAACATGAGGAGAAACGGCAAGCCATCGTGGTGGAAGGCGCGAGTGCAGAAATCTCAGGCTCATAAACAACGAACGTGGGGAAGTCTGATAGCCTCAGGCAGCCACCGCCGGTTCCTAGAATACGACCGAATGCGAAATTCGCGCAATACCGGTCCAGCGGGCATGCAGGGTAGCACATGAAAGAAAGCTGGCGAAGAACGCGAAACTCAACCCCAAAGCCTACTTTAATTATGTCCAATCCAAGGCCACGATTAAAGGGGCGGTCGGGAACGTCCTAAACGAGGACGGAGTTAACGCGGAATCAAATGCTGAAAAGGCGGATATTTTCCGCCGCTACTTCAAAAGGGTTCACCAACCGGATAGAGGGGGAACCCTCCACCCCCCTCGAACGGGAAATACCCGAAATGGCCGAAGTCATCATCATCGAAGATCAGGTAAAGACCCAACTGCAGGCGCTGAAGAGCACCAAGTCAGCGGGACCCGATGATATTCACCCGGCTATCCTGAAACCGCTGGCTGAGGTGCTTGCTGAACCACTAGCAAAGCTGTTTAACAGATCTCTCCAAAAAGAAGCAGTGCTTAAGACGGTTCCCAAGGGGGTATCTGCAGAGATAGCCTCCGTTATCAGCCCCGCCAAAGGGAGCAAGAAACCGAAACCGAATCCGCCGAAAACGTACGCGGATGCAGCGAAAGCCAATGCTGACTCCACCAACCGGGGTTTCAAAGTGACTAGCAAAGGGAAGACAGCAGTCGGTTCTGTTGTATCGCGAGTAGTCAGGACGCCCATTGCCAAAACCACTAGGGTTGAGCCTTTTGGCAAAGGCACAAGTAAACCCATTAGGGTAAAGGAAAACATCCTTGATGACATAGTAGGTCAATTAAAGATAATCAGTGATCGACTTAGATCACTGAAAGAAAGCGGAGGCGGCCCAACTGCGGTTCATAGAACCCTTTTGATTCTTAACAACGAAGAGCCGCTGGTTAAGGAAACGAAAGCCCGCCGGGATATAGACAGAAGAAGAGTGCTAGGTTTCCTAAGAATACCTGGCATGGAGAGGTATATACTCAAGAGGGTCCATAGAGTAGGTGCCTGGAGGACGCCTATTACTGGTGAACCCCGAGCGGCTAGGCCACTTTTAGTGGAATTCGCCGAACAATCCAGTAGGAATCAACTACTGGCCAACTCTGGAAAAATATTCCACGTAACACAGGGTAGGTGCAAGATAACCCCGGATGTTCCTAGGGCTCTTAGATTGCAGGGNGAGCCATTTCGGGGTGACAGGCGGCAACCGATCTGCAGCGACCGGCGTAGACAAAGTGTCACCAATAGTGGTGATCGAAGATGTTATGGAGGACGAGGAGTGGCGAAGTTGTTCTGTCACCGAGACAGCCGAAAGCAGCCCTGTCGTCCTTGGGGCCGAGGCTGTGGCAAACACTCCTTTGAAAAGAATGTCTACCCTGATAGAAACCCCTGTAGACTTGAAATAATCATTTCTATTGGGAAGGAAGCTGGATGAAGGGAGCAAGACGTCAAAATCTTGCTACCCACTCGGGTGCTGCGCCCGAGGCCCAAGATGGAGTAAACAGAGACCGGTAACCCATCCACGGCAAGCTGTCGGTTACTTGTGACAAACACTTGCAGTATTAGAAATAAGTGGATGGAACTCCTCGCAGCAGCATGTGACCTGAATGCAGTTGTA